AATTAAGCAATCTTTTAAGAGAAAAGAAGGTATTTTTTTTCTGAACGCGAGGTGAATTTATTTTTTAATTTTTTACCAGCATCTAGGATTTCTTTTTCTGTTATTGCTTCACTACTAATATTTAATAGCATATTAGGATCATAATTAAGTTGCAAATTCATGTCTTCACTATCTTCTGGCAAAAAATAGACACTTTCAGAGAATGTACTAAATGCATTCACTATCAAATCAGGATTATCATACCATTCATCATTATAGAACATTTTACCAGGAATTCTAGAAGTTTTCTTTTTATTATTAACAAATGACCAGAATAACTTTGATTCATCAGATAGCTTGATCTGAATATTTTGTAAATACAATGCATATACTTCCTTGATTTTAAGTTTGATAATAACTCGAAGTCTATTAAATTCATGGTAGTAAACAATATTTCCACTACAGTTCATCAAATTTCTAGAGGCTTTCGACGGCTAGACAGAGAAAGCACTACTGACAGGCATCCCGACGGATTTACGCAATGAAAGTACACTCTGCGCATCAAGTATTTCACTATTTCATTCAGACGTAAATGTCAGATGTAAATTTCGCTAAAACATTTCTTTTATTTTCGTTTGTGTTTTTGCTCATTACAGTTTAATAGAACCTAAGTATGGAGTTTAATAGCAAATTAAGAGGCCGCGTGATTAACAGTCAATCTCGCGAAATAATAGCCAATGTTATAGAGTTTATGAGAAGAGAAGGAAACTTTAATTCACCTTCAATACCATTTAAAAATGTAAATGATCGTGTTGCTGCAGCCACAGGAGTATCTAAAAACACTGTTGTCCGCATTTCTGGAGAGAAAAAAAGAATCGATAACCGTGAGATATCGGAATTTTCATCACCAAGAAAAACCATTAAAAAACCAAAAACAGTTAATGATATAGATGAAGCTGCACAAGAATCAAATTTTATTTTTTTATTATTAGATAGCTATTTTTGTTTCTGAGTTGTGTTCATTTACAGGCTCAATTTTTTTCCGTTTCTCCTTTTTGATTTTATATGGGGTTTCAAGTTGTTTTTGACTTATTTCGACGTAAATCACAACAACACACTTTTTTAATAAAGCAAACAAGTGTTAAGAGGTATATGTACGTGTAAACTACAATTACAAAAAATTGATATGAAACCCATGAAACCACCAACAAAAATGTAAAGCTAGCTTCCGTACTAGAACATGGTGTCATTCGTCGAGATAATTTATCGTTTTGTTTAATAGATCAAGAAATGTAAATATTCCCCTGTTATTTTTTATAAAATTATAAGAGAAATAAATTTTTTTCTAAATAGTATAGTTTATTATTTTGTAGAAAAACAAAATTTCGAAAATTTTAGTAATATTTCAGAAACAACCGTTATTAATAATAGGTACCATTTTCCTTAATAAGGTAGAAATAAAATATAAACTATTTCCACGATTTACAAAGGCCTACAAAAAAATTATAGGTATTTTCCGCTATCCTATAAAATTTATATTTTCTGACTCAATTTCAAAAGGTTGAAGGAATTCCAAAACACCTTTTATGGCATAATAATTATTTTCAATTCTACATACTATCTTTAGCTGCTTTTAAAAACGTTCTAAGAAAGTCCAATCAGACCAATTTAATCCCTAAACTATTCCACACTTTTAAAATTTAATTACCTAAAAATATTAAAAACTATTTAAAATAACTTGTTTAGCAGACTGTACAATAGCTATCTTAGTCACACGTAGCGCGTTCTCTGTCTGGGCGTCGAACACCTCTAGAAATTTGATGCTTTAAATTTTCTATGGAACTTAATTTTTTCTTTAATAAGTTTTATGATTTCACTAGTATACCAGACTGGATATTTTTGTTTGAAATTTTTAAAAATTGGAACATGTTGATCAAGTATTTCATAAAACTTATTATAGAAGGTTTCTACGTCAACATTAATATCAGTAATATTTTTCAAAAAATTCCAATTAGTGTGTAAAAACTCATTATTTAAAGACCGAAAGTTTGCTTTTTTAAAATTGTAAGATTTGCTATTATTATTTATACTGAAATTATTTTGATTTGTAGAGAATCCGAAAAGTTCAATTGAAAGAGATGGATGATAGGCATCCTCATTTACCAATGGTATACAGTCACGATTTACAAAACAGTTTATGCTGCTTACTACTAGGTCTAACAATTTATCATAAGTATTTAAAATGTTATTGTATTGTTTAAAATTTAGTACGGCCAAGAAATTTAAGATTGTGCGAGTTTTTCTATCTTCTAGATTGTTCTCAGTAAAATTTGAACAATTAAAGTCTCCTAATAACAAAACTTTATTATTGCTGAATCATCCCATTTTTCAACGGCCTCTAGAAAATTATCAAATTCTTCCAGAGACAAAGATGGAGGAATATAAAGTACTGCTAAATAAAAAGAACGGAAAGATACGGATTACTTGCAAACCAAGAAATCAATTTTTGGAAAATTTTCTTCAAATTGAGAAGTATCAACAATTTCAGAATTTATACACATATCTATATCGATTAATACACCTCCTCCACGCGTGATATCTAGCTGATCGAGTTTTCGATAGATATTATAGATAGTACATAACAGTAAACTTTAAAATTATTATTTTTTTTAAGTTTCAAACCATGCTGTTTCGAAAGAAGCACTTTTTACAGCAATTACGAATAAGCTGATACAAGGATTATTTTCCACATGGCATCCTCCAATAAAAATGGTAGACTGGTTTTAAATTGTGATGATACCGATATTCTAGTATTAATTATTATGCTACTCACGAACATTTTAATATCAAAGAAATATTCATGGAAACTGGTTACACAAATGGGACAACAAATAAAAAATTTAGAAATTTCAAAAAATATTGGTAAAACACTCTGTGAAGGCTTACCAAGTTTTCACAGCCTTACAGGGTGTGATACGACCAGATTCTTGTTTCAAATAGGAAAAAGCGATGCTTGGGAGGTGTACTATAAAAATTGCGACACGCTCAACCTTCGCAAATTTTCTGAAATGGCACTAGAAGAAGGATTAAAGTTAGCTAGATTTGTTTGCTTTTTATATAAAAATCAAAATGCAAAAGATTTAAAGAAAATTTGGTTAAAACTTACAAATAAGACCAAAAAACAAGCTCAGGAATTGCCTCCTACAGAAGATAGTTTCAAACTACTTAGGTGAATTTACAAAGCAAAAATTTTAGTGTCCCTATATTTTATTATTATGTGTAATTTTAGATCATATTATCAAACATTTATATCGATAAATAGTCCATATTGGTTAGATGACCAAAAAAGATCCCTTTCGATATGGATGGATTTTAAATGAGGACAATTTTATGGTTACAGAAATAATTTATCAGGATACAATTCCAGAAAATATACGACAAATTATCTCCTTATTTTGCAATGACAAGAACTGCAACACGCAAAAATGTCAGTGCAGCTCAAATTGCAAATGCAAAATGAATTGCATTAATATTAATCGTCACCTAAAGGAAAATACAAATGAATCTGAAGATCCTAAAGATTATACATTTTTCGTTAGTTTATTTTAATTTTGTTCGTTTGTTAGAACTTGTATTTAACAATAAATTTATACCACAATTAATTATTTATTATTTTTCTAAAGTAATAGAATTTTTTGGAAGAAAATGAACGAATTACGATTTATCTTCACTACATAGTACAAATCACTAATGAAAAATTGTATTTAAAACATTATTGCGTCGATCGTAATTTAAAAAAACAGCAATCCAATCCGGCCGCCGAGCCAGGTGCCCCTACGTTTAAAAGCCGCTAGCGATTTTGTTATTAAAAATAGACCGTGTATTAATCGAGACAAAATGCAGCTCATTAAATTGCGCAGTTTTTGAAAAAAAAAGAAATAATAATAATACTCTCCCTAATTCACCCCCTTACGAGTGAATTTTAACCCCAAAAACTGAGCTTGTGCGGGGAAAGGGAAAACCCGAAAAACCTCACCCACCATCATGAAATAAAATAGCTCTTTGCAAAAGAAAGTTATGACAAGTTGGGTTAAAAAAAATATTGTCAATTTGTTGTTATTATTTTAAATATTACTATTTTTAATATATTTTGTAACATTTTTCTAAAAACAAATACATCAAAAGAAAGGAAATTAAATAAGGAATAATACAAAAAAAGGGTGTTGTTGTTCTAACTTCTTTAATAAAAAAGTAACGAGTGTTCAAAGTTAACAAAAAAACACCTTTTTTTGTTTTTTGCCTATATCTTTAGTCTCGACCAATGGAGAGAGTCGTCAATTTCCATTTTCAGTGTAAAAAACATGCTTTTTCAAATGGTGAAGGTCCCATTTGGTTATACCTCGGTTTTTTCTGCGTGCTAGACCGGGCTTCCCAACGAGCTATTATGTGATTGAAAGAATAAAAAAAAGTTACAGTGAAACCGGTGTTTTTATCCTTAATTACGCAACGTTATATCGAAAAACCAGTGCATTCTCATACACTCCACTTATTCGAACCAAATTATACTAGGGGCCATCCATAAATTACATCATACGTTAAGGGGAGGGGGGTCGACGAAATGTGACATTGTATGACAAGAGGTGGGAGGGTCCTAAATTTCGTGACATCACATTTCAAACTATATTATATCTAAGTATTAAAACACGAAATTGGAGTATTAACGAAAAACCTTAAAATATTTTTAATTTAATAAATTCTAGATATAAAATTACAAAATGTGTGACGTCACACTAGGGAGGGAGGATTCTCACACATGTGATTAGCTGTAACAAGGATGGAGGGAGAGTTTTTTTGTCATATTACCAATGTTGCCGGTCGTGTATCGAGTTGTAAAATTGGCTAGTTTCGATTCATTCGGTACTTTATCTTACCTCAAAGTTTAAAACAAATGTTAAAATAAATGTTAAATTTTTCGGTTTGTACGTTTGTACGTCTATTTTACACAAAAAACAAAAACTCACCTATAACTCTATAGAATGAGCAAAAAACGATCGTGAGTATGACGAACCACGTGTTCCAATCATGGCTTTTATTGACAGTCGCCACGCCCAAGAACATGAATATAATAGTTTCGGATGAGCTGCTTAACATCTTCATGGTGTACTTGATGGTTGTATGCGATTTATGTGATATATTAGCTTCTACATAATTTTTCATTGTAATGCCACAAAAAGTTATTCTGAAAAAAAATAAATTATTTACGACCCCACTCCCATAGTTATATAAGCGGGAATCAATTAAATTATTTCTCCATTATGAACGTTTATTTAAAACCAGCTCAGTAAACTGAATATTTGTTTTAAATGCAACTCCCTGTATAAATATTTCATTTAAATTTCATTTTATTCTATGTTTATACAAGAACTATATGTTGAATATTAAAAGTTTGTAGATAATATACTTACGCTAAAATCCCGGACATATGAAAAATCTCAGCATTCAAATACGCTAAATAGGCCATAACAAATATAAAAATAGGTTCTATAACACGCACTTCATTTGTAAATTTAGTCACTAACGACGTAGCCATGCCCCAAATCACGCCGATCACCGTTCCCCCGATAGCCACCACCCAAAAATTGAGAAACCCCGATAGCACGTCCACGTACAGGATGTTCTTCAATCCCATCTCGGTGTAGGACTCGAACAGATGGTACAGCACCACGGTTACGGCGTCATTGAGAAGGGATTCCCCGAACACAACTATGTACAAGATCTCGTTTACTTGAATCTCTTCAAAGACGGCTAGCACCGCTACTGGATCCACTGCAGAGATCAGCGACCCAAAGAGGAACATATCCAGCAGGGGTGTATCACAGGAAAATAGACCTGTCAGTCCGACCGCCCATAAGGAAGCACCTGCAACACAAATTGTCTATAAATAGAAAGGAAGGACTATTTTAGGCTGAATTAAAAAAGAAATCTAGGTTATTAATTGCTTAATACATGACCAACCATTGTTTGCTATGGTTTTACGCAGACGTCAAAATAATAACAAACTTCGGTGCTATATTATTGGAGTAAGTGCAAACAAAGGCAACCTTAGCACAGAATTGGTGAACAATATAGAAATTAAAATAACGTAGAAGGGATAGAAATCTCTAACCTTCAGTTCCACCATGGAGGTGCTTTGAGAAAACTAATACACGCGATCATAAACTATTCATTGAAATCACACTGCGAAAACTAAATTTATTTCTATTGTACTTTAAAAATGCTTCACCATCTGAGGCCACGCCTATAGGGGGTAGGGTTTTGGCTGTAACCCTGTTTATTTTCTGTATTGTTAATATATGCTGTGACCCTAGTTATTGCTATTATTGTTAAATATGAGACTGTCAGCTTTAATTTGACACCAATTCCGTCAAAATAAAAGCACCGATAAAGCGCGACAAATCACGAATTTACTAGTTTAACTTATTTAAAAATGAATAATGCAAGAACATCTGCTGCTGGATAACACAGTGCTAGTGGTCATCAATATATCTCTTCGACAAATAGAAAACTAGAAGAACAAAGCAACTACAGCATTTGGAATTTTGGTATGGAAATGTACCTCATAAAATGTAACTTGTGAGATTGCATCAGCTGTCCTTTTGAATATGAAAAACTCTGCATAAAGAATAATTCAGAAAAAGGATGCTAAAGCACGTTCAAAAATATGTTTGATGGTTGCCCAAGTAAAGAGCTAAAAAAACTTGGATCTGTTTAGAGAAGGCATATGCTGATAGCAGTTTAGGCCGTCATCTGAACCTATTAAAAAAACTGCAGGTTCATTCGAAAGCTGCCAAACGGGTACTAAGATACCGTAAGGCAACAAAGAATATGAAACTAGTTTTCCAAAAGACAGATCAAGGGAACACACATATTCAGATATGCTGATGTTGACCGAAAGTCTTATACTGAATAAGTTTTTCCAATGAATGACTCATCAATCTCTTGGGAATTTAAAAAAGACAAGACAAATGCCGTTCAACAATGTTGTGAGTTACCTAAGTTTAAAGTAATCCTTTCGCCAATAAATGATAGAAGTGAACAAGCAGCTTTATCGGGATATGATTTTTTTATAATTTCAAGCGTGAATTAAACCGTAAAACATGTTTTGAGAAAATCAGTCGAGTGCTTGGTGACAAGTCGTGTTCCTTCGCTATCGTAAAGCGGTGGTACAATGAATTTCAACGTGGACACTTTCCTTAAATGACAATTTTCGAGCTTCTAAGCCAAAAACAGCCGTTACAGGAAAAAATATTAATCTTATTCGAAACATGATTAAAGAGAACCGGCACATTACTGTCAAAAACATTAAATTAAAACAACTTTAACGACTGTCGTTAAAGAATTAAGACTATTTTACACAGGCATTTGAAAGTCCGCAAACTGTTGATTTATTGACGGTGGATCTATAAGCCATTGCAAAGAGCAATTCAAATCGACAGATAAACTCTTTTATTAACACATCTGCAACAGTTGCGGCCTCTGGATTTGGAATGGCGTAGATTTCTACCCACTTTGTAAAATAGTCCATAACCACCAAAATGTATTTATTACCATCCTCGGTCATGGGAAATGGTCCAGCAATATCTAAAGCTATCCTCTCAAATGGGCTTCCAACATTGTATTGCTTTATAGGAGCCTTCCTTTTTCGTTGAGGTCCATTACTCATAGTATAGGTGGTACATTTCTTACACCAGTCCTTTACATCATCGGAATTGTTCATCCAGTAAAACCTTTCCCGAACTCTAAGAAGGGTTTTCCTAACACCGAGATGTCATCCTGATGGACTGTCGTGTAAGTGACGACGTACTTCGGCTACTCTACTCTTTGGAATGACCAACTGTCTTCTGTTTTCGGAACCATCAACATTTTCAGAATAAAAGAGTCCTACTGTGCCATATATGACTTAAGTACTGGAGAGAGATTAGATACTTTTTTCCAAGTAGGTCGACGATTTTCCTCTTTCCTTTGTCGCATTTTCTTTAAAACGGTATCATTTTCTTGTTCTTCCCTAATATTAGCAGGAGTCCACTCATCGTTGATTACAGTTGTTCTTAGTAGTCCACTTTCTTTGGATTTCGCATTGTTGCAGTGGGAGCACTCTGCTGGACACGGTCTTCTAGAGAGATAATCGGCATTTCTGTAACTTACTCCGGCTCAATGTTCGATCTTAAAGTCGTACTCTTGAAGTCGTTCAATCCATCTGGCTATTTGACCCTCCGGGTTTTTGAACTACATCAACCACTTAAGGGCGGCATGATCGGTACGGATTAAGAATTTCCTTCCATATAGGTATTGATAGAAGTGATCCATGCATTTCACAACTGCCAGGAGTTCTCTTCTCGTGACGCAGTAATTTCGTTCAAGTTTCGAGAGCACTTTACTAAAATAACCTAGTACTCTTTCTTTCCCTTCTTGAATCTGGGAAAGCACCCCTCCAATTCCCACATTACTAGCATCAGTATCCAGGATAAATTCTCCCTCTTGTAGTGGGTAGCCTAGTATTGTTGCTGTTGTTAAATGGTTCTTTAATGTTTCAAAGGCAGTTTGGCAGTCCTCGTCCCAGCAGAATTCCCTCGCTTCTTCTGTGAGTCGTGTTAATGGCTTAGCAATATCTGAAAACTTCCTAATGAATCTTCGATAGTACATACATAGCCCAAGAAAACTTCTTATTTGATGTTTATCAGTTGGTTGTGGCCATTCTTTGATCTATCAGGACTTTTTTTTCTACAGCCACGCCTACTTACTGACTATATGACCCAGGTAATTAACTTTATTTTGAAATAGCTGGCATTTCTTGGGGTTTAGCGTCAGTTGGGCAGCTTGAAGTCTTTTAAAAACATCTTCTAACTTCTTTAGATGTTCATCAAATGTCTTCCCCAAGACTATAATGTCATCCAAATATACCAGGCATGTTTTCCATGATAACCCTCTCAATACATTTTTCATAAGTCTTTCAAATGTCGCGGGGGCATTACATAGTCCAAATGGCATGACATTGAATTGTCACAATCTAGATCCGGTGGTAAAAGCTGTCTTTTCTTTGTCTACTGGGTCCATTTCCACCTGCCAATATCCAGACTTTAGGTCGAAGGTAGAAAATAATTTATTTCCGGCCAATGTGTCCAAGGTATCGTCGATTCGAGGAAGATGGTAACTGTCTTTCTTGGTAACCTCGTAGTTCCATCCTTTTTCTGGACCAGGACTACCGGAGAGACCCATGGGCTGGTAGAAGGTTCTATCACCCTGTGTTCCTTCATTTCTTGAACAATCCTTTCATCCTCCTCTCTCTTGGCTTTCCAGTAATCTTCGAGTTGATTCGCGAATCGGCCTGGCGTCGCCAGTGTCAATTTTGTGTTTTACAACAGAAGTTTTTCCTGTTTTTCCTCCTTTTGGTACAAACATGTCACGATATCGTCGAAGAAATTCCTTTATTTTCTTTTTCTCTAACTGATTCAGATTGACCAGTAACTGCAATCATTTGCTCAAATTTGTCGTTGGAATTATCAGAAATTGTTGTCTGACGAATTATGGAAGTTACTGGTACACAAGTTCCGATTCTAGTCTCTGGACGAACTGGAATCTCTTTAGCAGTCGTGACCAACCCCTTTTCAATCAGAATTCCTCGTCCTACCTCTTCATAGTGGTTCCAAGGTTCCATCATTACAGGTGTTTCTGCTTCCATAGTTTCTTGAAGCCGTGCTACTATAACGGTTCCACTTCTTCCAGGTACCACCGTATTCTCCTCTACAGCAACTGGCACGGTACTGTCCCCATATGGATGTAGGAATACCTCTTCGGCGCCAACTTTGATCACTCTGTTCTTAAACTGGAAACCATGTAAGTTCATTACATCCATTCCAAGTATAACATCTTCTTCGATATCATGCAGCGACAATAACAGTATGAGTGAACTCTGTACCGATTCCCAATTGAACCTAGATTTCCCCATAGATGTTGGCACTTTCACCTGTGACAGTCCGCAGTCGCAATCTTGTTGGTAGAAGCCTCTTACGGTTATTTATGGTTGTTGATCGTATAATGGTTCTAGTTACTCCAGTATCCACTAACAGTGTATACTGTTTACCATTTACTTCGCCGTCTACGTATACACTATCATCGCGACATTTCAAAGAGGCTATTAGTATGAGAGGGTCTTTGGAACGGTTTCGGGTCGGAGCTACCCCCTCTAGGCCGATCCGCACTAGTTTTCCTGCGGCGTGTTGTCTTGATTCGTTGTGACCCTAGGGCGTTTGCACGAACTGCGTACATGTCCCAGTTCACCGCAATTCCAGCACCTGATAGTCTTTGTCTTCATATTTCTGTCAGTAAGGCTCTTCATCATGTTTACCAGTTGATCGAGTTTACCTTCCTCTTTTTTTTCTTCTTTTACAGTCCTTACTTTACTGTATTCACCAGAAGCCTGCGTAGCTGCCTCATATTCTAAAGCAGTGGACAAGACATCGACCAATGTTTTGTGGTGAGCTAAGCGAAGTGTTTTCTGCATCTCGTGGTCACAGAGTCCATCAACAAATGTTTGGACTGCCAAATATTCCATCATATTTTCCGGAGCTGATGGGTAAGCAAATCGCACCAACCTGGCAATATCTACTTCATATTCTTGAAGGGTCTCGTTTCTGTTTGCCATTCTTTAACTGTGATTGGTATAGATGCTCCAAATGTTCGTGGCCATATCGCATATTTAGTCTCTTTTCAAGTTGCTCAAAATCATCTGTCTCTTCCACGGGTATAGTCTGAAGGACATCTAAAGCATCTCCTCGAAGAGCGATGGTCAGATTCACTGCCTTTTTTTCTCTCAGACCATTCGTTTGCTCTCGAACTGTTTAAGGTAGTTGGTCCATGAC